CACAACAGGAAGTGGCAGGACAGTCAACCTTCAATCTGATGCAATTTGTTGTAAAATTGCTTAACTCTGCCTATAGATTGCTGCCTGTTTTCTTTAGCATGCCCCTGTGATTTAGCTTCATCAGATTGGCAGCTCATATTTAGGTATAGGGGTACTTCTGCTCCTGGCACATTTGTCTGAACTCCACATTGAATCTTCTGGCTTGATGATAATGGTAAGAATAAGGGATATGCCTGGACATGAAGTTACCTATTACACCTCATGGATGCTGAATTGTGAGTTGTAGATCTAGAATGTGAATTTATCGCTTTTAGCACAGTGATGATGCTTCACAACATAATGAAGGGTGTGAAATGACTGTCTCCACATGGTGGGCGCTCCTAAGATTTTCATGGATATATGTATCTGCAACAGGTAAGTTAGATCAGATTAAGTACTGTAGCTATTTTCCTGAAGCTGCTTCTCTCACTGCTTGCTGTAGGTGCAGTCTGATAAAAATGTTCTTCTGCATTCAACCAACTCAGTCGGTAGTGATACTATCAAGTCCTACTTGGTGATCCATGTTAAATTCCCCCACTCAGGACACCTTTCTTTAAGTATGTGCACCCTATAGATTTCTTGCAGCTTGCATTGCATTTGGTTTATGTACTTGGATTCAACCTTTCCTGACAATGATGACCTTGTCAAAGTTTTCTGGGTCAGAAAGAATGGTAAGCACCCTCACCACTAGACTCACATTGATGATGCCTGCCACAAACCAGGCCAGTATGAGGAGCACTGTTAGTTCATCCCTCTACCTTTACATACTCACACATGTGTTCTTCATTTCTGTTTTTTGCTTTTTCTCATTATGTGCTATTGAGCCTCCATGCCAAACAGGGATAGCTCCAGAAATGATTTTGTCTAGGTCAATGGGAAAAAAGCAGATGTGGCTTCAGGCTTGGGCCTGAGGATGATGCTGATTGTTCTTTGGTTATGGAGACGGAACTGGGTTTGTTTGTTCTTCCTGACTCCCTTCTGTTAGGCAGTGAAATCTAGTCTCAGCTAGTCCAGAAGGTGCTGCATCATGGTTGGATGGAAAGATACTGTGAGCTAGGAACCCAGTCAAGAAGGCAATGGGAGGTTTGGCACCTGAACTACTGTTAATATTTAGTTATAGGCCTGAGCAGGTATAGCAATGATAACGTAGAAGATTTATGTTTTGACATATCTTGGAAAGGAAAACATCTCATTTGTATAGGTACAGTCAAAATTAGGTTGCTTCTTGCCTTACAGCCAATGCGTAGGCTGAATTTTTAACCTCAAACATGATGGTGGGCAGGCTGGGAATTTCACACAGCCAGCCAACGTTTCTTTCTTCAGGCTTAAACCTGGTTGTGGGCTATTTTCCTGGAAGTGGTACTGGGAGCGATGAGGGGGTGGAGGGGAGGTTGAGGCAGATAGCTAATTAAGTTCAAAGACCCTTTCAGTCAGTTCTTAATCATTTTCCCACTGTGACTCCACCTTAATGCTGCAGACTTCACATGATCCCAGGGTGGGTGGAGAGTGGCGGAGGTGGTAGGGAAACTTCAGCATATTGGGAATTGTTTAAACTGCAGGTTTTAGTTTTTATTTAAAAACTAAGCCTTTCCACAGGTTTTTGTAGCAGCAATTTGTCCCCAAAGAACTGTCCATTAGGCTACATCCACCATAGAAAAAGTGAAGGGAATTAAAGGCCTCACAGCTATTAGAAATTAGTCCAAGGCCTAGGGAGCTGGGGGTGGTCATGATGCATAGTTTGGGAAATTATGTGTTAAGGCATAATTTCAGAGGCCAAGTGGAATTTTCAATTTGATCCTTCAAGTGATGGGAACAGAAAATCAAATTGAGTGACAGTCCCCACAACAATTCAGGGCTAAGGAGCCCATTTGAGACTGATGGCAGGATCTTGAAGCCATCAGGGAAATTCAGCCCCATGTGATCCTTGGCGTAGCAATAAAAAGGAACTCTCAACTGTAATTGAACTTTAATTTTACCTAAAAGCATCTAATGAGGATTGAAATCTTAAGACTAGAATTTCAGGATCAAAGCTCAGTAGCTAATGAGTCAGCTCTAGACCTAGTATCAGACCACAGCAGACATTAGGTGTGTTCTACTTTTTTAAAAAGCTGATTGCATTGCTGAAAGCTGTTGTACATGAGAGGGCAGGTAGTACAATCAAGACTTGAGCAGGAGTAGAGTGAACAAGGAGTGGGATCCAGCTGGAAAACTTAGGCCAGCCCAACTAGAAAGCGAAGCAGTTGGGCTTAAGTGTAAGAAAAGGACTGTAGGCAGAGCTGTAGTGCAAGCGAGACCAGGAATACGTGTGGGCACATTAATGTCAGAATCTTGTGAAAATCTCAGAATTTCATCAGAATCCTGTAGATGCAATTTCAGATTTGCTCAATTAATGTCTCAACTATTTCATTTCTAGGATATTATAGTGATCTACTCAAAGTACATGGCATTTGGAACAATGGCCATATTAATCTCAATCTAATTCTGAGAGAGCAATGTCATGGCTGCTGTAGCTTGCAGGGTTTGTTTTTAGTTATGTGATGGAAAACTACATTTTGTTTTATATGATTGGGACATAGAAAATTACTTATTAGAAAATGGGAAAATTGCAGAAAATTACTTATTAGAAAATGGGAAAATTGCTAAGATTTAAACAATTAACCTGTGCAGAAGAAGTAAATTAATTGGCAGCTTCATGGTAATGGTGCTGGCAGCATGAGGTTTGCAATATTTAAAAAATAGAAGTGTATACCATGGGAAAATAGGGCAACAGAACTGATGTTCTCTGGTAAGGAACTGACCCTTGAGATAATATGGGAAAAGTAAATTCTTTCTGAAAGTCTGCAGTCTGAGATTTAAATCTTAAACAAAATTCTAGACTGCTCTGCAACTTGCACAGTGAAGGGGTGAAAATCGCTAGCTATTCAAATTATTTTTGGTTAAATGATAATCTTCCTGTCTTCCACACATTATGTTGTTGCAAAAGTGTCTGATTTTGTGACTCATATGTTTTAGAAGTATAACCTTTTTAGTTTAGAAATTTAATTTATGAAATGTAAATTAAACGAAGATGCTGATAAACAGGCCTAAAGTAATTGCAATGCAAGGGGTAGCCCATGTTTATTTAGTAAGGTCAGAGTTGGAAGTTGTTCAACACTGAAGAATAAATGATCTCTTTGAGTTTTTTGGTAGAGATAGAGTTCGGAATTAAGGGCAGTGGGCTGCTCGTCCCCACCACCCAGAAAGAAAGTCACAGGCAACTGATAGGAAGCCCACACTGCAGCCGTACTATTTTGTGTGCAAATTAAAGTGGTAGCGAGTGGGCTTTCCACCTTTCAGCTTCCAGCTGATCTGGTTGGTCAGCAGTACTAGCTTGTTAGTGGATGTTGCCAAGTCTAGTGGAAGGAGAATGAAGAAAGCCCAGTGGATTGCCAAAGTGAAGTAAATTGTGGGTATTTGGCAGAGAGAGTTGGGCCAGTTTAGGGAAAGGGCCAGTTTAGGGAAAGGGCACAGAGTGTTTTCTTAGGAAGGAAGGTGGGTAGAAAGAAAGGGGCGAATTACATCATCAGCAAAGAGGCGACACTCCAAAAGTGTGAAGTACATCCCTTCCTTTTGGACTATTTAAAACATGTTTTTTAAATCAGCTGCCATTGCTGCCTGCCTGCCTGCCCATGCTAGTTTATATATATTTTCCAATCAATCTGTCCAGAGATGTTATGACACACCTCTGGGGCAGGTGGGACTTGAAGCCAGTCCTCCTGGTCCAGAGGTAGGGACACTACCCCACAAGAACATCCACTATGTCAGTATTATATGTGGGCAGCATATTATTGAGGTCATTTGGCTTTGTAACAAGCTTCATTGATCCTTAACTGTTTAATATGATGGTTAGGTTGCTGATTTCATTGCCTGCCCGGCAGCTGTGCTCTTGGGGTGAACTCAGAGGTAGGCGGAAAGGTGGTAGGCTAGGCACCTACCTATATTTTGTGTGCCCCACACAGCCACCTGCTGAAAATATACCCAGTCGGGCTGTGTAAAATGCAGCTTGGGATATCCATAGCTGGGTCAATCAGAGATTAAATTTAGTCATATGGTACCCCAGAACAAAGAGAAGATTTAGGAATTAGAGGTAATAAGTTTAAGTCTTATCTGGGACTTCCAGGTGAGTGACCTGGAGGGTTTTTATTTGGATATCTGTTTGATGTCCCGCTGAAAAAGGCAGTTGAAGTCAACCTTGATGCAGTTTTGAGACAAGAGGGAATGTGCCATGAACGGTAGACAGTAGCAAATGGCTTTTAGAAACTATGGATGGTTTTAGAGTTATGAAGCAAAAAAGAAAGGAGGCCCATACTTGAGTTGTGCTGACCCACAATCAAGAGGTTTTGGAGGTTTTCCCAGCCAGTTGTTAGTGGAAAGACTTCAAGAAATCGGATAGCTCAGTGAATATTATGAACATTGAGGAGAATAGAACATAGAACAATACAGCACAGTACAGGTCCTTCGGCCCACGATGCTGTGCCAACCTATTATCCTACTCTAAAATCAAACTAACCTGCATACCTTTCATTTTACTATCATCCATGTGCCTATCCAAGAATCGCTTAAATGTCCCTAATGTATCTGACTCTACTACCACCGTGGCAGTGCATTCCATGCACCCACCACTCTCTGTGTAAAGAACTTACCTCTGACATCTCCACTATACCTTCCTCAATGAGAATGAAAGTGAATTCGTGAAAGTGGTAGCATGCCTTGGTTTGGTCTCAAGAAAAGTGAAAGAATCCTCTAAAATATAGGAGAACAATTGGGTGGAAATAGAAGGAAAACAAGGAGTCTCTTGTTGAGATATTTGTATTAAAATGTGTTTGTAAAATATACAGTTACTTCTGTTTGCTTGTTTTAAGTCTTGTGCAGTGAATTTTTTTTAATTTAAAACATCTAATCTTATGATGTATTGTTTTCAGTTAATAGCTGTTGAAAGTTACTGGTTTCTGAAATCCTGACACTGCAAATTTGATTTGGGATAACAACCCATTAAGGTAAGTTTGGATGGCAACACAGATCTGAAAAATAGCATCAGAGATAGTAGGAACTGCAGATGCTGGAGAATCCGAGACAACAAGGTGCAGGGCTGGATGAACACAGCAGGCCAAGCAGCATCATAGGAGCAGAGAGGCTGACGTTTCGGGCCTCGACCCTTCATCAGAAAAGGGGGAGGGGAAGGGGGTTTTGAAATAAATAGGGAGAGAGTGGGAGGCGGATAGAAGAGGGATAGAGGAGAGGATAGGTGGAGAGGAAACAAACAGGTCGAAGAGG